CATTCGCCTTCGCGGGTTTGCTGTAGAGAAGGGAGTTCAGTGGCATTTGCACAAATATTCCTTCTGTTCACCACTGTTGGTTTAGTGCTGGAGATCCGCACGCAGCGCGAGCCGTGGACGCGTTTGGACGCGGACAGAAAACGAAAGAGAGAGAGAGAGAGAGAGAGAGAGAGAGAGCGAGCACTGATCAGTTTCCACGCAACCAGCAGCACACATCAGCACAGCATAAGAGGCTACAAAGAATTTAGTCTGGTGATTCCAAATGACTTGGTATGTTAACTTCCATGAACTACAGATCATTCCTTCAGCGTTCATGACACTTGATTCAGATATTTTCCATATGTGTTCATATTTTAATCTATAAATAAACTACTCCTGGACGAAACTGCTAATGTAATTATGTCATAATTTGGACAAATCCTAGAAGGACTAAGATTATTAAATTAGAATTCATGAATCAAAATAAGGTACTGTTGGATGCACTGAAACTCATAATAACAGAACCGAATAAATTGTTGAAAAATAACAGAATAAATAGTTGCAAATGATAATAAACCATTGGCTTGGGTTTAAGATCTATTGTATTATTATTATAATGAATAATACCATATTCATGACAGTTAGCAAGTGTATTCTAAATCCCTTTTGTCATCTAATAAAATAACACATTGTAGATTTTGAAGTTTAAGTAGCTAGAATAAAGATTAATAGAGTGCAAATGCATATACTATTTATAACAGCTTGAGTTGATTTTTCTCATTGATATAATGTTAAGCCTGTGGTGTCTGTCCAGTCACATTTAAAGGTTAATCTGTGAAAAGATCACTGATGCCTCCCCCATGCTGAAACATGACATGTTTCATATTATTTACTTCTGCAAATGTAGCTGCCACATACTGGCTTGACAGACATATTGCAGTATTGTTTAATATTAACAAATTAATTGAGCATTGCCTTTAAACCCAAAGGCTATTTTTTTCTACTACAGTTTCTGTAATTTTGTTTGTAGACAACAGAAAAAATACAGCCTTTGGACTGATGAAAGTAATCTTCATTTATTTCACCCGCCTGTGTTCTTTCTCTTTCTCTGTCTCACACACTCAAACTAAATCAGACAGCTACTTAAAATGATGACCTGCGTGTGGGTGGGCTGCTGTTAATTCGGATTGATCTGTGGCCTGCTGGAGCACTTATGGACTTAATGTAACAAGATGTTTGTGTGTGTGTGGCACTCTAAATGATTGTCTAAAATTATTGTCTGTTATACTTTCATATTATCCTGTGATATTGTAACAAAGAGAAACAAGATGCGTGTCGAAGCTGCACCGTATTATATTAAAAATCTAAATAAGGGGGGTTTGTTTCAGAATTAATCTTCAACGTTCTCAGCCACACCAGTATTTCACCCTTGAAATGTGAGTCAATCATACTGGAGCTGCTTAATCTATAGAAGATTGAGTTGCGCTCACTGCATGACCTTGCATGCTCTGTGATAAGCCCAAAACTTCAGGACAGAATTTACACACCTGGAAACATATTCTGTGCCCAAAATATGACAGGTTTAGGATATATCAGAATACTTTTCAAAAGAGTACTTTTTACATAAACAATATACTTTAAAAGAATATATTAAAGTGAAACTTACTGCAATACTTTCAGACATACAGTATAACTGCAATGTTAATTAAATGAAAATGTATTGTAGTTTAAATCATTTAAATTTAAACATTAAAGTGTGCTTTTTTTCCCCTTAAGTATACTTATTCAGTGCATCTTTACATGTATTTACTAAATGTGCACTGCCGAATGTACTGATTTATGGTATGTAATTATACATTTGTAATGAAACTGGAACACATTTCAAATATACAGCTTTAAATGTAATATTGAATAAACAGTACAGTTGAAATTATAATCAAGTACTTTGTATGCATATTACCTGCAAGTACAGATGTTTAACAGTAAACTACAAGTGCACATTAAATACATTTAAGCACACTACTTTTTTACAAAGGTAGGGAGAACATCAGATAGTGTAACAAAATCATGTTGAACTCAGCATTAGGCAGACGATATTCCATTGCTATTGATAAAAAGAGAAGAATGCCATTATGCAAATGACTACGGACAGACAAACTAACAGACAAACAGTTCTACAAGATATTGTCAGTCAGACTGAATTTCACCTCACATGGTTAAGTTTTCTTCATTAGTGGTGCAAGCATCACTGTTAGTCTCCTATTAAACATAGATATGGTTAGTAATAAAAAAACAAAAACAAAAATAAAACTCTAGCCCTGAGCTTTAAACTTTGGCACGTAACTCGTTTGTGCTATGGACATGAATGAGACTGAATCATGCGGCTTGTTGAGAAGAGGTGTGCTATTATATTTCTATGTTATTGGCCCTAAAATTCTTGCTAGGAGAAAGGCAGTGGAAAAAATTAGCAAAGAAATACCCATAAATGTACAATAATTGAAGGAGGGACCTGAACCCGATCTTTTCGTCCAACAAACCACATTTAGACTCTAGGCTGAAAGTAGATCAAAGCACTTCAGACTGATCTGGAAGTGGATTAAAGTAGAGCCTCTTTCTCATCATTCAAATTCAATTATCTCACACAGAAAGGAAACACAATCTAGCCCTTACCTCAGTCAGATTCAGTGATAGCAGTCTTGACATGGTGACCCAACTTTACTGTTCTGTGAGTGGTGACTGTAATGTTCAGGAAGTGTTTTCTTTTCTATTGAAATGTTCCAGGTTCAGTTATGCTGTCAGTTACCACAGATAATCATTAAAATCTTTCTTTCTTTGTTTCTTTCTTTTTAAAAAACAAACACAGATGATATTTCCACTGTCAGACAAACATGCACAAATTTATTTTACCCTTTAGGGGTACAACAGCTTGTCACACTTTTATACATTTTTTTCTTACACTTACGATGAAAGTCTACTGGTCAAGACACTGCAGCAGTATAAATGTTAAAATATACACACTTTCTTTCAATATGAGAATAGGCGTTAACATTTTTTTTTTTTTTTCATTTTCATTTGGTGATCAGCTCATAAATCAAGAACAATTCAAAAGGCTTTTAAAAGTTATACTTTTTTTTTTTTCAAAATATTAATATTATTTTTGATTTCAAATAAACTGTTACAATTGCCCCTAATGTCATGGGTATAATAAAATTTGGTAGCTGCCAGCTAATGTTAGCATCTGTTAATTTTTAAACAAACAAAGTATTCACAGGACAAAAACTGATTATAATATAAAAAGAAACATCCTCTCACTTTTAACTGTTTTTATTTGTAATGTGTAAATATTTGTTATAACATAAAACATTACACTGCTGAGACATAACTGAACAAGCTTCACAGACATTTGATGTGTTGCCACCAGCTTCTTTAAATACTACAGTGAATCTCATCTTCATGGACTGCACCTGATTTGCCAGTTCTTGCTGTAAGATGTCACTTTTCCACCAAGGCACTTGAAAGTTCATGGTTACACAAGGTTTGCCACTGCAAGGACGATCAGCACTACAATGCCAAGCATCGAATGGAGTGGTGTAAAGCACATCACCACTAGACTCTGGAGCACTGGAAACCTGTTCCGTAGAGTGACGAATCATCCTACTTTGTTTGGAAGTCCAAAGAGTAAGTCTGGGTTTGGTAGATGCCAGGAGAACTTTACCCGCCTGACTGCATTTTGCCAACAGTAAAGTTTGTTAAAAAAGGATATGGGGCTGTTTTTCACAGGTTGGCCTGAGCAAGATAGCCAATAACATTTATTTA